AAATGTTACAACGCTGCCTGATTCAAGCAGATCGTGGCTGTTATTAGCCTGGATGCCAGCCCGAACCCCGCCCACAACATTTTTTGATCGGGAAGTTCGGTCTGGACTCGCTCCATTGAGGAGTAATTATGATCGGTTCAGAAATCGTCGGGCCAATCAAATTGCCCGGGCGGGCTTTATACGATGATGGACAGATTATCTGCAGGGACGTAATCCTCACGTTATCAAAGAGCGCTTGGGTTGAACTGGTTTCCCTCACAGATGACTGCCGCTGGAGAACTGAGATGTATAGATCCCGCTATCGCGTCCGTTGTAAAAGAAATCGACAGCGCATTCATTTTAAAAGACGAACATAGAACTGCAATCAAGGCATTTGTCGATCGGAAAGATGTGTTTGCCGTCCTTCCTATGGGATTCGGCAAAAGTTTAATTTATCAGCTGGCTCCGATGGTAACTAAGAAGATGGGACGCAATGAAAACCCTGTGGTCGTTGTGGTTTCTCCTTTGGTCGCAGAGGGCCAAGTAAAAGAAGCAACACTCGTTATTTTACTTCTTCCAGCGTGCGTGCATTTGAGTTCTGTAGTTGACAACTGTGCTATGCAAAGTAGTTGACTTACTGCGTTGCTCTCATTGGTTGTAGGTCTATCCAATTGAGTGCAGAGTTTTTATTTTTCCCTGGTTCGGTTAAGACACGCCTCATAATCAAAGCCCTATGAAGCAGTATCAGACTCACATTCTGACTAGAATATGAGTACAACGAAGTCAGGCTAGGCTGTTAGTGCATAAAAATACAAATTCAGCATTAACAATCACGATGTTTATTCTAATTTGAAGGGCTTTGATAACATATCTGTGAAAATAAAAGACATTACGAATAAAAAAAGATTGAAAATAGTATTAGTGCAAGTTTTTGCGGGTAGTGAATATTTTCAATTTACAACAAAACTTCTTAATTCAACAAGAGAAATAGGCAGAGTTATTCATCATTGTGCAACACAATTCGGATACCACATGACAACTTACTTACAGTGCTTGACGTTTTCGTGAAAAACGAGTGAAGAGTTTTTGCCGTTTTGAACTGATACTGATGGATTCGGCGCGGGTGCGAGCATGGGCGTGTCGTAGGCTAATGCACGAGTGAATGATTACCATGGAAACGTGAAAGTCACGTATGTAGATAGACTATCCTTGACTCTTTGGATTTTAAATCTCGATGTAGGCTACACACACCCGCGAAAACCTCAGCTTGTTGTATACACACTTGCCCTATGAAAAAGTGCGGGGGACGAATTTAGATTTTATAAAAAAGTGGGGGGGACACGTCCCCCCCGTCCCCCGCGTAATCTACGCCCATGCTTGCTAGATTTTCAATGATATTGTGCTCTTCACAACTTCTAAACATTCTAAACAACAGTAATGAAATGAGAATCACAGTCTTACACCATGTCTACACCAGAAAGAAACTGCGCTACACAACATGAATAAAGCAAGAACACATATTATCTATACTGGATGTGGCACTACACAACATGACAAATTCCTGACATTAAACTAATGCCAGGCTCTATATAGACATTCCCGTCCAGTAAGGACAGCTTCTAGCGGTGTAGACACAAGGTGTTACCAATCAAACAGTGAAGAATGGAAGCATACACTCACCGGACACTTTATTAGGTACGCCTGTCCAACTGCTCGTTAACACTTAATTTCTAAGCAGCCAATCACATGGCGGCAACTCAGTGCATTTAGGCATGTAGACATGGTCAAGACAATCTCCTGCAGTTCAAACCGAGCATCAGTATGGGGAAGAAAGTTGATTTGAGTGACTTTGAACGTGGCATGATTGTTGGTGCCAGAAGGGCTGGTCTGAGTATTTCAGAAACTGCTAATCTACTGGGATTTTCACGCACAACCATCTCTAGGGTTTACAGAGAATGGTCCGAAAAAGAAAAAACATCCAGTGAGCGGAAGTTCTGTGGGCGGAAATGCCTTGTTGATGCCAGAGGTCAGAGGAGAATGGCCAGACTGGTTCGAGCTGATAGAAGGGCAACAGTGACTGAAATAACCACTCGTTACAACCGAGGTATGCAGCAAAGCATTTGTGAAGCCACAACACGCACAACCTTGAGGCGGATGGGCTACAACAGCAGAAGACTCCACCGGGTACCACTCATCTCCACTACAAATAGGAAAAAGAGGCTACAATTTGCAAGAGCTCACCAAAATTGAACAGTTGAAGACTGGAAAAATGTTGCCTGGTCTGATGAGTCTCGATTTCTGTTGAGACATTCAGATGTTAGAGTCAGAATTTGGCGTAAACAGAATGAGAACATGGAACCATCATGCCTTGTTACCACTGTGCAGGCTGGTGGTGGTGGTGTAATGGTGTGGGGGATGTTTTCCCGGCAAACTTTAGGCCCCTTAGTGCCAATTGGGCATCGTTTAAATGCCACGGCCTACCTGAGCATTGTTTCTGACCATGTCCATCCCTTTATGGCCACCATGTACCCATCCTCTGATGGCTACTTCCACCATGTCACAAAGCTCTAATCATTTCAAATTGGTTTCTTGAACATGACAATGAGTTCACTGTACTAAAATGGCCTCCACAGTCACCAGATCTCAACCCAATAGAGCATCTTTGGGATGTGGTGGAACGGGAGATTCGCATCATGGATGTGCAGCCGACAAATCTGCGGCAACTGTGTGATGCCATCATGTCAATATGGACCAAACTCCCTGAGGAATGCTTCCAGCACCTTGTTGAATCTATGCCACGAAGAATTGAGGCAGTTCTGAAGGCAAAAGGGGGTCCAACCCGTTACTAGCATGGGGTACCTAATAAAGTGGCCGGTGAGTGTATATGGAGCTGTCCTGAATGTCATTTTGTGGCAATTTTCTGATCACCATAAGAACTTCACATGTAAGAAATGTGTAAAGAGCTCGTACTTGCAGCTTGTAATATGTGAATTGTCTGAGAGCTACTACCCATATCACCTGACCACTGCAGATTAATTTAGGGTGAATTCCAAACCTAGTCCACATGCTGTATGAATTCCAAACTGCTTTTTTGCACCCTTGAAGGGCACTTCGGGAAGGGGACACCATTTGGAGCAGCGGCCCAAACGAAAGTGAACAACTGAATCCCTTCATGAAGGGCCCTTCCGCAAGTCTGTTAGCAAAGGGTAGGGAACTGTTGTGATGATCACTTCAGGGAAGTATATGGTTTATGGTCATGTGACCCAGGGTGACAAGTCCTTGTGCGTGATTCATTTTAAATCTAGAAATGGCGTAGCCTGACTGCGTCAGACTTCGTACTTCCGCTTTATTTCAGTTCGCTTCTCTACTCAGTCTGAGACATCGACATGTCTCTCAGTTTTCCTCCGGCCTGAAAACAGCCGGCCAATCAACGAACAGAGGGCGGGCTGAGAGCCGTGACGTAGACGCTAAGCACCGAGTTTAAGATTGTATTTTAGGTCAGGGAAATCGAAAACGACCTCGGATGTGGAGATACGGGATGCAATTCGCTCTGTTGTGGAGAATATTCCCGACATTTGCAAACTGAAGCCCGAACAAGAAGAGTGTTTGTTAAACATTTTGAATGGAGGTGATGTCGTGGCCCTACTCCCGACAGGTTTTGGGAGAAAGTTTAATCTATCAACTATTACCGATCGTCAGCGAGAAACTGGGCAGGCCAAAGGCCGGCAAGGCGATAATTGTGATTGTGTCCCCCTTGGTTGCACTCATGGAGGATCAGGTTAAGGAGGCAGCAAAACTCGGTCAGCCATGTTCACTCCAGTATTTCGCTCGATGGTTTCGTTTTCGCATCATACATGTGTTTACAGTGGGAGTTCGATGCGGCTGAGCTGGCGAAACACACGTCATAACCAAACATTATGTGATTGGCTTACGGGTATAACCAATGATTTTATACTTCAGAAGAGTGCCCCCTTGTTCCTTGTTAGTTGGGATATTTTTTCGGTGTTCAAGTTTGACTTTTTTCCCAGTAAACGTTTAACTATACTGTTTACTATCTGTATCTATTCAGCTCAGTGTGATACACAATAGCACCCAGCTAGACAAAAATGACATTCTTGCACAGTATAGAAAGAAGTCAGAAGTGTCAACAGCATAAAAAGTTGAACAAAAATGAAAAACTGAATACACTGATATTGTCATATGATCATTTTCATAACTAGATGCTTGTAAATTAAAGGACTTACTGTGTCAACGGTTCTGCTTTCGTTTCTCTCTCTGTTTTGGTGTTTATCTTGCTCTTTATTTTAAAAAGGGGGAACAATAATATGACATTAACATAATTTCTGTATATGTTCTGTTGAAATAAATGATAACATGGCATGAAATGAACTTTAAAAAGAATTAAGAAAGGAGTGCAGGTCGAACTGACTGGGTCTCCGTCTCCATCTCCAGGTGAAAACAGCGAGCAGAATCAACAGCAGCAGAAGTGCAGCTGAAACTGGAAGCCACACAGTCAGAAGACCTTTATCTCTGTGGGAAATAAGAAAACACGTTTAAATCTGTCCATTCAAAAAGCTCAGAAAGAGTTCTGGAACTAATTCAGCTGAATAAAAGCACCAGAAAACAAGGCATCTGAACTAAATTTCCACCAGGCCATTAAACTTTAATGCATTTCAGGCTAATAGTCTTAGAATTAGTTTAAGCTTCTATTATTTTTATTTTTTTTTACAATACAGATGTATTACTTTTTTTCTTCAATGCCTTTATTCAGCTTTATTATTATTCTTGTTTCCTGTTTCTCTTCTGCAAAGATAGAAAAAAAAAGAGGGAAATGAGGAAATGATTATGTAAGCAATACAAACAAAGAAATTGAGGAAATAAAGTATTGATGACAAAACAGCCAAATATAGAATAATTCTATGAAGATTTTAATGAGAAACCTTTCAATACTAACGAGTCTCTCGGATTGTCTCTGGTCTTGTTTACTGTCAAAAGTAGAAAGCAAAGCAATTTTAGTTGTGTTTTATTTAAAATATAGTAGAAAAATATTTATTAATGAAAAATTGTACCTTCTGCCTCGGTTACAGTGAGTTGAACAGGATTCAGTGCCTCTCCAGCAGAGCAGAAGTACCATCCAGAATCACTGAGTCTCAGTCCAGTCATCAACACAGTGAAGCTTCTCCCATCATCACTGATCTGGACTGATGCATTCTGGGATGTGTCAGTCCTCCCCACTGTGTAACAGCTCTGATCTTTATATCTGCACCACTGTTTGTGTTTATTCTGATATCCAGAAGTGTAGAAACACTGGACACTGACATTATCACCTTCATGTCCAGATACACTGCTGTTCATCACAGACACATCAGGAGCTGAAATCAGAGTCGTTTGAGATAATTAAATACATACAGTACTGTATGTTTGAAGTCAGATAATTTGAGATTAGAATGTGATTAATATAATTACAAAATCTCTTACCAGACTGAACCTTGAGATGAAGCTCATATGTGACAGTCGGTTTTCTTTCAGTCTCCACAGCACAGGAATAACCCCCATCATGTGTTGTGTTCTGCAGGTTTCTCATAGTCACAGTAAAGAGACTCTGATCAGGATGATCAATTACTGAAAGATTCTTCTCTATTGTGTTTGTGTATATTTTAGATTGACCAATTTCTGAGTACCAGTATTTCTTCTGCGGTGGGTTTTTCTCATCATAATGACATGGGATGGTGACAGATCCTCCAGTCTTAATAGTTACAATATGATTTGACCCACCGCTAAAGCATTCAACACCTAAACAACACACAAACCGTTTTTTCGTCCAGGATTAACAATAATTCACTCCTTAATTTGTTCTATCTTCACATAAAACACATTAAAGGCATCATGAACAGCTGAGCATTAAATCTGTCATTGCAAAATGATAAACAGGATCCATTAGAAACAAAGACAGCACAACATTTAATACTCACCTAAAATGAGCCAAAACCCGACTGAAATGTAGATCATTTTTTCCTTTGCGTATGTGGCCATTTTCTAAGTTTCTCTTCCTGTATCTTGAGTTGTCTAACTGTGTTTGTAGAGACTGCTGCACTTCCCTGATTGGCTCCGTAGTCTTTCATAGGCGTATGTGACAGAACATTGTGTTCGTAGTTGGTGTAGGAAGGAGTATGTCATTTAAAAAACAGGAAAAGCTGAGCAGTTTCACAGAGCCTTCCTTATTTATTTATTTATGAACATTTATTAGAGGATCAGCCCCATGAGATGCAACATCTCGTTTTCATGGGGGTCCTCAAGATCATGTCCAAACAACATTAAACAGCAAACAACAGAGTAGATACAAAATACAAAATATATAAAAAAAGAAAAACCTTAACCACACACTCACACTCATTCACACACACCACGCGGACGCCACACACACCCAAGCTCTCTCTATCCCCCCCATCACAGATAAAGTAAAGTAAGTCATAGTGGTATGTATACCACTAACCACAATTTATTTTATACCACTATTAAAATAAAACTTTTTTTATCTAAGACTCAGCATAAAGTTATTTTGGGAGTCAAGCATTTTAAGAGGGGTATTTTGTGTACGAAGTATGAGAACAACTGTTGTAACATATAGTATAAAACAGTGCACACAGAGGCGAACCAACACTGAGTGGGGGCCCCAGGCAAAATATTATAAATATATATATATATATATATATATATATATATATATATATATATATATATATATATATATATATATATATATATATACACTCACCGGCCACTTTATTAGGTACACCTGTCCAACTGCTCGTTAACACTTAATTTCTAAGCAGCCAATCACATGGCGGCAACTCAGTGCATGTAGACATGGTCAAGACAATCTCCTGCAGTTCAAACCGAGCATCAGTATGGGGAAGAAAGTTGATTTGAGTGACTTTGAACGTGGCATGATTGTTGGTGCCAGAAGGGCTGGTCTGAGTATTTCAGAAACTGCTAATCTACTGGGATTTTCACGCACAACCATCTCTAGGGTTTACAGAGAATGGTCCGAAAAAGAAAAAACATCCAGTGAGCGGCAGTTCTGTGGGCGGAAATGCCTTGTTGATGCCAGAGGTCAGAGGAGAATGGCCAGACTGGTTCGAGCTGATAGAAGGGCAACAGTGACTGAAATAACCACTCGTTACAACCGAGGTATGCAGCAAAGCATTTGTGAAGCCACAACACGCACAACCTTGAGGCGGATGGGCTACAACAGCAGAAGACTCCACCGGGTACCACTCATCTCCACTACAAATAGGAAAAAGAGGCTACAATTTGCAAGAGCTCACCAAAATTGAACAGTTGAAGACTGGAAAAATGTTGCCTGGTCTGATGAGTCTCGATTTCTGTTGAGACATTCAGATGTTAGAGTCAGAATTTGGCATAAACAGAATGAGAACATGGAACCATCATGCCTTGTTACCACTGTGCAGGCTGGTGGTGGTGGTGTAATGGTGTGGGGGATGTTTTCCTGGCACACTTTAGGCCCCTTAGTGCCAATTGGGCATCGTTTAAATGCCACGGCCTACCTGAGCATTGTTTCTGACCATGTCCATCCCTTTATGGCCACCATGTACCCATCCTCTGATGGCTACTTCCACCATGTCACAAAGCTCTAATCATTTCAAATTGGTTTCTTGAACATGACAATGAGTTCACTGTACTAAAATGGCCTCCACAGTCACCAGATCTCAACCCAATAGAGCATCTTTGGGATGTGGTGGAACAGGAGATTCGCATCATGGATGTGCAGGCGACAAATCTGCGGCAACTGTGTGATGCCATCATGTCAATATGGACCAAACTCCCTGAGGAATGCTTCCAGCACCTTGTTGAATCTATGCCACGAAGAATTGAGGCAGTTCTTTAGGCAAAAGGGGGTCCAACCCGTTACTAGCATGGGGTACCTAATAAAGTGGCCGGTGAGTGTATATATATATATATATATATATATATATATATATATATATATATATATATATATATATATATACAGTATATGACACTTTTCTTTCAGATGAATACAATCTGAGTTCTTTTAACCCTTTTGCGGTCTTCATACAAATTTCTAAATTTTAATTTATGGGGATAACATGGATAATTTGACATGGTTTAGTGTAAAATATTTGCCCATCTTTTGAAAAAATTAGTTTTAAAAGTAAAAAAATATATAATTTTAGCCACTAGATGGCTATAGCTCCACTATATGCTATTTGACTAACTGAAAGATATTTTTTCACAAGTTTTTCCAGTTGGATTCATATCTAAATATTATGAAATCACAATTATAACAATACAAATTACTTTTTGTCAAAGTTTCGCATTTTTTGTTTTGAATGTTTTTTTTTAATCATATTACATTATAAGACTGAAAAAGATGTTACAAAGAGAAAAGTTGGCGTTTTTAGAGTTTATCATTTATTTCAATTTTCTTTTTTCATTTTTTTCAAAAATGTTATCTACACTTGAGTTACTAACTGTAACAGAACAGATATGAACAGTTATATTACATATTGAGTACAAATACATGACATGAACATCAAAATGCAATGAACTGAACAGCAATTACAAATGAGCAAATAAAGCAGTTGCTTTTGTCTCTTTCTCTCCCCCTCCCTCCCTCTCTCTCTCTCTCTCTCTGTGTGTGTGTGTGTGTTTTCACAATGTCGATGTGTCAGTGTCAGCAAATTTTTTTGTGGTGGTTCAGTATTTTGGACCATTTTATTTGACAAATTATAATAGAGCAGTTTTTATAGTCTCACAAATGTATTACCCTGTGTGTGTGTGTGTGTGTGTGTGTGTGTGTGTGTGTGTGTGTGTGTGTGTGTGTGTGTGTGTGTGTGTGTGTGTGTGTGTGTGTGTGTGTGTGTGTGTGAGCATGATAATTTGCATTCTGAATGTTTTCAGCATTGTTAGAAGTGTGCCACTTCATTTCTGTCTATGTGTGTTCTGCGTTGTTTTATGATTTTGATGATGATTTTTTGTCCATTTTCTATGCGGGGGCTCCAGAGACCCCAAAAATCATGAGTGTGACTTTTTTTTTCTCACCCTAACATAAAAACAGATATCATTACAATTGATTATTTTTTTTATTTTTTTTGTAGATCTAGAAAGTGTTGAGAGCCGTACAAAGTTTCGTGTCATTTGGACGAAGATAAATTTTTTTTTTAAATTCAGCAAAAGTCATTTGCAGGTCAAAAAGACCCCGAAGAACCTTCAACACCCTGGCGTTTCCGAGCTTGATAATGGCAGTGGATTGCAACCATCAGTTCAAAGCTCAAAAATTTGCATCTATCATCAATCTATCCATCATAAACACACAGCTCCAGGGGTTAATAAAGGCCTTCTGAAAGGGTTACTTCACCCAAAAATGAAAATTACCCCATGGTTTACTCAGCCATCCTAGGTGTATATGACATTCTTCTTTCAGACGAATACAACCGGAGTTATATTAAAAAATGTCCTGGCTCTTCCAAGCTTTGAAGTCCATCAAAGTGCATCCATCCATGATAACAGTGCTCAACACGGCTCTGACGGGTTAATAAAGGCCTTCTGAAGCGAAGCCATGTGTTCGTGTAAGAGAAATATCCATATTTAAAACTTTATCAACTAAAATAAATAGCTTCCGGCAGACTGAATAGTGCATTTTAGTGTCCATTCTCAAAAAGAAAATGACAGTTAAGGGGTTAAAACTTTATAAAATAAAATAACTAGCTTCCGGCCAAACAAACATACGGATTCGTCTTAAGTGTAAAGCGCAACTTATGCGAGTAATGAGACGCACTGACTGAAACGCCATGACGCACTACGCTACTTTTGACGCCATAAGTTGCATACGTTATGCTTTAGACGCAAGTACACTTTTATGTTCGTTTGGCCGGAAGCTAGAATTTTACTCAGTAACATTAAATATGAAATTTTTTCCTACACAAACTCATCGCTTTGCTTCAGAAGGCCTTTATTAACCCCCGGAGCCGTGTGGAGTTTTTTTCTTACGGATGGATGTACTTTTTTGAGCTTCAAACTGATGGTTGCAATCCACTGCCATTATAAAGCTTGGAAGCGTCAGCGTGTTTTTTAATATAACTCCGATCGTATTCGTCTGAAAGAAGAGTGTCATATACACCCAGGATGGCTTGAGGGTGAGTAAATCATGGGGTAATTTTCATTTTAAAGTGAACTACTCTTTTAAGTATTGGTAAACGATTGTGCAGGGAGGAAGCAGGATCCAAATGCATGCACGTTTATTTAAATACACTCAAACTATACAAAGACTCAGGCAAGCGAACAAGACTAGGGAACAGAACAAGACAAGAACTCACAAGGACTGAACTAAAACACAGGGTTTAAAGGTCCCGTTCTTCGTGATCCCATGTTTCAAACTTTAGTTAGTGTGTAATGTTGTTGTTAGAGTCTAAATAATATCTGTAAAATTATAAAGCTCAAAGTTCAATGCCAAGCGAGATATTTTATTTAACAGAAGTCGCCTACATCGAACGGCCCGTTTGGACTACATCCCTCTACTTCCTTCTTTAATGACGTCAGTAAAACAGTTTTTTGACTAACGTCCGCCCACAGGAATGCTCCCTCAACTCGCGCACTTCTTATAAACTCAGCTCTTACGGTGATTTTCTGAAGTAAAACTGACGCTTCATCTTTTGTGTGATGTACAATAAACTTTATTAAACTCATCAGTATATGTTTGATCATCATTCGGACCTGGTCCGAAACAGCAGACTTGTAGGCTATTAATAAATAATGGATACATACAAGCAGATGAAAAATACGTTATAATAACCGTAATTAAACTACTAAACTGTACCTGTTCCATCTCTATACAGCACTCTGACTCTGTAGGCATTATTGTCCGACTCGAAATGAACACCGTTACTGAGAGTTTCTGATATTACCATCATTCTGTGAGATGAAATTGTCCTAAGAGACTGAGCGCGAGCTCATGAAGCTCCGCCCCCTGTGCCGGCAGCAGCAGCTTATTTGCATTTAAAGGGCACACACTAAAACAGCGCGTTTTTCTGAGCCCCAAAAAATGACAATTAAAACATGCTGTAAAAAATGATCTGTTGGGTATTTTGAGCTGAAACTTCACATACACACTCTGGGGACATCAGAGACTTATTTTACATCTTGTGAAAAGGGGCATAATACGGGACCTTTAAATACATGGGCAAACAAGCTAAACAAGATAACAAGGGGGCGTGGCTAATCAGAAACACCTGGGGAGACTAATAGACATAACAGGAAACATCTGACAATAAACGAGACAGGGGAACACCGACGTGAATCATAACAGATGGTTAGCAATTGTAGATACAGATTCAGACAGTAGGTAAAATCAATAATGTAGTACATTAAAAGACAATGAACCTTTCTATTTATACAGTAAATTTTGTAGAAATGTGTCATATATGTAAACTGAAAATATATAGTTGCATTTTTACACACTCGTTGAGTTGAACAGGGTTCAGTTCCTCTCCAGCAGAGCTGGTCCAGTCATGCTCACTGTCGCTGTTAGTGTGGAGCCACAGTGCTGTATATCCCTCCTCCTGCTGGAGGCTTCTGGAAGTGCGAGATCTTTGTCTCAATATACTGTCAGCAGTACAATAAACACATTAAATAATATATTTCGGTAAAACTTACTGCTTTTCTCCCAGGAGCTTCACCAATAGTAGAGTAGGTTATGTCTTTGTTGGGATCCTGTGGAGAAATGGATTGTAATTAAACATGATTTTGAAATCTTACTCTTAATATGCAACGCGTTAGTGGTGTCTGGTTTACTTACATGTGAGCGATTTACATTGCTGTATATCACAGGTTCTTTAGGTTCACAGTAGATCTGCATTTTACACAGAAAAACACAGAAAACAATAAGGAAAAAGATATCAACATGGCTAACCCAATGTATGAGAAGTAAGGTTGGAAAAAAACTAAAACGCTTTCAATTTTTTTTGATTGGTCTGGAGATTAATGACCCCTGTGGGTGGATTGTATCATTTGTTAACCCGTGTAAACCAGAAGACGGAAACAAAGACTTTGGCAATTCTATTCTATTCTAATTCAACTTTACCCATTAAGTTATAAAAAATGTTATTTCTAAAGGTTTTCTGAAGTCTTTTAAGGGAGTACATTGCATTTTGTCATTATGTACATTATTGGAACGTTAATTTTGAAAACAAATAGTACCATTTAAGAACAGTTTTATAAATAAAGCTTTCAATGAACGATGTATAAATAATGGTTTTGTGCTAACATTTTGAAAACGTTATTAACTCTGAACGAATGTTCTATTAACATTATTGTAAGAATGTTTGTTTATAACTGAGAGAAGCTTGCCAGAATGTTAGCCACAGTTCTGAGAACGTTCCTTGTTAGCAGGGATATTTTTAGTGCGCTACATTGATAAATAACCGTTTACTGTTGAAATCTGCATCTAAAATGCTCAGTGTGAATACAATTCAGCTGAACAGAACTGATATCATTGCATAGTGTAGGCTAGTAAGAAGTCAGTGTCAACGAAAAAAAAGCAGGTTAAAAAGGAAATTTGTATATTACAAACATTCCAGTGTTGACTGACATGGTGAAAAAACATCTAAATGTTTTGACTGTTACGGCTCACACAATGGGAAATAATTTCTTAATTTTGGTGGCACTGGCCAATTTACTGACACAATAGTTTTGAAGAATGAATTGAATGTTTTGGGCAAGTTACAACATTTTGCAGACATGCAGGTTGTGGTTTCCCACAAAAACATAATGGTAAGACTAAATTTGAGCCATAGCTATTGGGAAAACTGTATAAATACACAGATATTGTCATACTGTCACGGGTTGTGAGGGAGAGACTAAACACACAACGAAGATTAATGATGAAATCAAATCAGTGACCAAGATGACAAACAAGGCAGGGAGAAAACAGAGTCTTTGATGGTGTGACACATACAGTATAACATTTTCATAACATTTTCATAACCCATAATTTAAAGGACTTACTGTGTCAACGGTTCTGCTGTCGTTTCTCTCTCTGTTTTGGTGTTTATCTTGCTCTTTATTTTAAAAAGTGGGAACAATAAAATGATATTAACATAATTTATGTATATGTTCTGTTGAAATAAATGATAACATGGTATGAAATGAACTTTAAAAAGAATTAAGAAAAGAGTGCAGGTCAAACTGACTGGGTCTCCGTCTCCGTCTCCAGGTGAAAACAGCGAGCAGAATCAACAGCAGCAGAAGTGCAGCTGAAACTGGAAGCCACACAGTCAGAAGACCTTTATCTCTGTGGGAAATAAGAAAACACGTTTAAATCTGTCCATTCAAAAAGCTCAAAAGAAAAGGTGTGTGATTAAGTCACCTGCGTTTATTCAGCTGACTTAATCACACACCTTTTCTTCTGAGCTTTTTGAATGAACAGATTCAAAATAATTCAGATAAGGCGTATCTGAATTAAAACTTTCATCAGATCTTTATTAAACGTTGTTAATGCACTTCAGCATAGAATTAGCCAGTTTAAAGCTTTATTTCATTTTTAAACAATACAGGAGAAGTACATATTTGGTTCTTCTGTGGCATTATTATTGTTGTTTTTCTGTTTCGCTTCTGCAAAGATAGAAAAAAGCAAGAAAAAACAGGGCAATAAGGAAATGATTACAAGAAAGACAAATGAATTGGGGAAATAGTGAAAATGTGTTACTTGTCCTTCTCAGTGCAGGTGTCTGTGGTCACAAATGTCAAAATAACAAAATAACAATTATGGATTGAGTTTTACCTTTTCAGTTTTTAAATACAGTATTAATATGTTTTACCAGATTCTGCCTCGGTTACAGTGAGTTGAACAGGATTCAGTGCCTCTCCAGCAGAGCAGAAGTACCATCCAGAATCACTGAGTCTCAGTCCAGTCATCAACACAGTGAAGGAGCTTCTCCCATCATCACTGATCTGGACTGATGGATTCTGGGATGTGTCAGTCCTCTTCTCAGTGTAACACCTCTGATCTTTAATTCTGCACCACTGTTTGAGATTATTCTGATATCCAGAAGTGTAGAAACACTGGACACTGACATTATCACCTTCATGTCCAGATACACTGCTGCTCTTCACAGACACATCAGGAGCTGAACACACAGACACAAGTCATCTGATTACAAAAGATTATAAAATACATGTGTGTGAAGTCAGAGAATTATTGATTAGCATGTGATTAAAACCATTATAAAAATCTCATACCAGACTGAACCTGGATATAAAGTTCAAATCTAGCACTCGACTGTCCATCAGTCTCCACTAAACAATAATAGAGTCCAGTGTGTTTGTGCTGTAGGTTTCTCATAGTCACAGTAAAGAGACTCTGATCAGGATGATCAATTACAGACAGATTCTCCTCTGTTGTGTTTGTGTATATATTAGATTGATCGATATCTGAGTGCCAGTATTTCTTCCGCGGTGGGTTTTTCTCATCATAATGACATGGGATGGTGACAGATCCTCCAGTCTTAATAGTTACGATATGATTTGACCCACTGAAGCATTCAACACCTAAACAACACACAAACCATTATAATATCCAGGATTTACAATAATCAACTCCTTAATTTGTTTTATCTTCAGATAGAACACATTAAAAGCATGAACAGCTGAGCATAAAATCTGTCATTCCAAAATGATAAACAGGATCCATTAGAAACAAAGACAGCACAACATTTAATACTCACCTAAAATGAGCCAAAACCCGACTGAAATGTAGATCATGTTTTCCTTTGCGTATGATGTGGCCATTGTGAAAGTCTCTATTCCTGTATCTTGAGTTGTCTAACTGTGTGACTGCTGCACTTCCCTTGTCTCCCTTCATAACACTCAAACGTCTTGCGCCATCTGACTAAATGCAATAAGGATAGACTCTAGATTTCAAGTTTTTTCTCGTCACACATTCATTTGTTCTGCATCTGTTTCAATAGGGTGTCTGGGCCTGGGGGGCAATCGTAACACAATACATTTCAATCACAAATAATCTATGATGACACTCCCAGCTAACAAAAATATGTTCTAACGTCATTCTGCTAATGTTCCCATTAAGTAATGAAAATGTTATTCCTGAATGTTCTCTAAACTTTCACAACTTTAAGTGTTAAGGGAGCATTCAATTTAACCATTTTGCAACCATAATTTTGTAATATTCTCTGAACATTCTGAAACGAGTAGTAACTGATTTTGAGATACAAATTTTGCATATATCCAACATTCTTCTCATGCTGTCAGCAGTTCTTCTTTGCAATAAACAGTTTGTTTGAATGTCATGCTACTAGTTATAGCTACAGCTATGCATCTCCTTAGTCATTGGTTAACTCCCGCCTATGCTTGCCTGCTATGAGCCAAAGAAAGAAAAAATAGAATGCATGATGGTTTGGTCGTGATAGTGCGTCATCTGCACAATAATCTGATGTCAACTTCCTCTTGTCTTCTGTGAATTATGACATCCCACACAAAGGTCTTAAAGAAATATCAGTCTATTACAGGCCTATTTGCATTACTGCTTTGAAGTAAAGGCTGGCCACCACAGAGACTATGTATGCCATAAAATATGTACTTTCAATATTTTCATGTTGTTAAAATATGTGTGTGTGTGTGTGTGTGGGGGGGGTATATATATTATGGGGTATATTTTATACCCCATAAAATATTTGAATTCCTCACCATCATCTTCATCTGGACATATTCGTGACAGAGCACCAGACCTCAAAAGAATGGAGATTGCCTCTGGCCCTCAGGGGCTACAACTTTTATTTTTCGAAACGGCAGAGACATGGAGGAATACGTGGAGGAGTTTCTGAGCGTCTGCCATTGTGCCACCTGATCTTCTTTTACAGTGGGCGAGGTAGAAGAGGATCATGCCGCCAGTGTCTAGCCCCACTTTACATCAATCACCACCCCAAAACCAGACCCAGTGCCCACGCCCACTAAGGAGAAAGAGCCAGATCCCACCGCACACCAAGAGACCCAGCCAATGCCCGTTACGGAGCCTGAGCCAGAAGCCTTGTCCATTTGGGAAGAGAAGCCTGAGGTCCCAGCTGACCAGGTGTGTGAGCCGGCCATCGCATCCGAGCCAGTGGGAGTGTAAATGAAGCTAAAGGGGAATGATTGGCTTTTAGACTGGAGTGCAGAGGTAACGCTTCCCACCCTAATACCAGCCCACTTTCTCTTCTGCCATTTAAAATTCTACCCATTAATGAATGAATTTTCATAGCTGGAATCCCTATCTAGCACATTATTGTCTTTGCCGCTGCCATCCCTGCCTCTGCCTCCGCTCCCAACCTTTCTCTCCAATATGTTTCAACGCCAGCCATTCCTTCGACCCCGCCTCCGCTGGCTCCCCTCAGCCCTTCGGCTCATCCAGTGGCTCCACCATTCAACTGAATCCACCTTGGGACTTCGGGTCACCAGCTCCGCTGTGGCATGGGGATTTCCTGACTCTGCTTCGTCCCTCTGAGCCCTCAGCTCCACCTCGGACCTTTGACCAATCTGCTTTTTCCATCATCTTCATCTGAACCAGATCGTGACAGGTAGCTGATTTTAAGATTCATTTTATGGAGATTGTGCTCACAAACAAATGTTGGGTCAATTATTTTAGACCAGAGCATAAATAGAAACATTTATATTATATTTATTAAGTCAAGGCACCTTCATTTATATAGCGCTTTTAACAATATAGATTGTTTCAAAGCAGCTTTACAGTGATAATAGGAAATTAAAGTAACAGAGATTGTTTTGGCTTTACAGCAGCTCTAGAATAAAGTCATTGTCCAGCTAAAGTTAGTTTTGATTGATTCATTTCCGTTGCAAAGATCATTAGTTATTACTGTAACTTAATGCTAACACGACACCGTTCTCACAGAAAACCCTTAACGCGGTCCGGCTGCTCATTCACACAACAACATTGCCTGGTGGCTCGAGAATGCAAACCTTGAAATAGGTTCCTAAACTTCAAAAACGTGAATCTGTTAAAACGCTGACAATGTGCACATGCATATTACGTGTTTAGTCTACAGGTATGCGCGTTTGAATATATGTGCACAGTAGGGCTGGGTATCGATTCAGATGTTCAAATTCGATTCGATTTCGATTCACAAGCTCACAGTTCGATTCGATTTCGATTCGATTTCGATTCTCGATTCGACTATAATGAATATAGATGTAATACAAATCTCAGTCTAAATATCAGTTATCATTTTTTAGACAATTTTCTTTTACATTGATCTCACAATGTTTGTTTTTACAATGGGGTAATTTTTTTGTTAAGAGTTTATGCAACACATGGAAGCTTGATTTCAATCTTTGAATTAAATTGAAAAAAGTAGCACAAATAAATACAATAGAATAGGCCTAAAGACACAAATAAAGAGACATAAAAAGAAAAGTTTTTGGGTAGGTCAGAAATACTACAGAAACTGAATAAAGTAATCCAATGTAAAATAACACTGGATAGTCTTTTAGTCCTGACTGAATTAAATACATAGGCTATTAATTCTGATTCCTTACAATTAATGCTATATTTTGTTGTTTTGACAACAAAATGAACGACAGACACATATGGCTGCGTTCACTTAAAGTAACACTATGTAGTTTTTCAACCTTCATAATATATTTCCAAGACCCTTGTGATGGTACATCGACTTAAAATAAGTTAAATGACACGTCTGCCATAGCCTGACGTGGTCTGTATCGCTTTTACTGGCACTATGTAACTTCGGGTTTCGGGTAGGAACCCGTGCACAAAAAGAACTACAAAATTCGACTGCTTTACGGCATACGTCACTTCCCCCACCACTTCCTCAAATTGTCTGTGGCCATTGCAGACATCCCAAGTCTCTCGGGAGTCTCCTGCGTCTCCCTGATGCCCGCAAATTAGTTCAGATCTGCCGGAATCTAGAGCGCGCATGCGAGACAGAACATACTGCGCGCATAACATACATAGCGCGAGCACGGCTGAGAGAGAGAGAGCGAGAGACCTTGCGAGTGTGCCTCACGAAAGCTAGTCAACCCGCCACCAGCCACATTTTAAAAAACGATTAATCGAAAAATCTATTTTTTTTTGCCCAGCCCTAGTGCACAGGCGTGTAGTCTTTCTTTACAAATTGACCTCAACCAATTACTTGTCTGGCCTTAAAAATTCATAATACAGAATATTTTGTTGCTTCCGCATATCCATGTGAACTGGAATCATTTTCACAACATTTTATCTCTACAGAGATTAAGGGAAGCAAACGTTCACAGGGGAGAGACAAAGTATAGAAATTGCTTTATATTTCCAGGTAAATTGCATCTTAATCTATTTTTAAGATCTTGGGCTTTACTATAGTCCAGAAGACTCAGCAACCCCCACTGCTCTCTCTAGGAAGTTCTCTTTCTCTCACACCCCTCATCAGTCAGTTGCTTTTATCATAACCACTTGATTTACAATGGTGCTGTGGTATTTGATTGCAAATGTTGCATAGGCCTACATAGGAAGTGACAAATTTGCCATTTGGTTGAAGTCTAAAATTTACATTTTGAATGAGCGTTATTTGTGATGTAGTCAATGTCAAACCGGTTCCTTCTGGTGTTTGTGGTATTGTCATGTTCCCTTTTGTAGTTTTGCAATATAAGCTAGGACTACTGCAATTAGTTATTTTGGGTCTGTTTTACACATGTAAGGAAAGAAATAGCCTACAGGCTTAAAGGCACACTATGCAAGACTTGTACCTTAATATAACAGCTTCAAAGTCATTTCGGTAAACAAACTCATAGTAGGGCGAATCATCCTGGTAGTAAAGTTTGGGGGGGACGCCGATGGAAAAACCAGCAATGCAAGTTTGAGAGGAGCGCCCACGACAAATCTCGCGAGAATCACAACATGCTTTACGGCAACGACGTCACACACATCAACAACAAAATATGAAGCATGAAGACACTTTTTTCTTCGCTATTGTCTCCTTTATTGTTTTGGTTGATATTATGTGATGTACGTATGCTTTCTCTTTTGTATGTTCCCATTCTCAGCATTAATAAAAACAAACAAAAAATAAATAAAAAAAAGCATGAAAACACTTGCGCGCATTTCAGACGTGATACTCGACGATGGAAAAAGCAAAGAAAATGCGGTCGGAAGAGACTAGGAAAAGGAAAAGATAATCTGACCGCGTGAGGAACCAGACAAGAGTCCCACTCGGTTTTGAAAAAAAGGTTTGAAATTCATTATCTTTTATTATAGGCTATGTAGTCTAATATCATAGGCCTACCCATAAACACCCCCTAGATCTCTTATTTAAAGGCACACTATGCAAGATTTGTACTTTAATATAACAGCTTCAAAGGGGCATCAGGCCGTCAGTGCAGAGACGCTCTGCGTGAGTGGTATTTACGACAGTAACATTAAATACAAGTACTCCACAGCGACTCTAGGGGTCGCTGTTTGACAAAAACGGAATTCCTGCAGTGTGAAAAAAAAAAAAAACGTATCTACAGATTTTATTATGAAATCTCTATAGCCCTCATTTGCAGAATCTGTTATTTACTGTATTGAGACACCATGGAGGTATGCCGGTCATTATGGTGGCCTGATTTTTGCTATATCTTGTATCAGGGTATGTAAATATTGCAAGCCAGCGCAGGAAAAACGTTTTTTGACAAACTTTGAAATAGGTTCCTAAACTTCCAAAAACGCGAACGCTGACAACGTACACGTGCATATTACGTGTTTAGTCTGCAGGTATGTGCGTTTGAATATGTGCACAGGCGTGAAGTCTTTCTTTACAAATTGACTTCAACCAATTACTAGTTTGACCTTAAAAATTCATAATACAGAATATTTTGTTGCTTCCGCATATCCATGTGAACTGGAATCATTTTCACAATGTTTTATCTGCAGAGGTAAAGGAAAGGGAAGGGAAGGGAAGGGAAGGAAGCGTATTTTTAAGATCTTGGGCTTTACTAGTCCAGAAGACTCAGCAACCCCCACTGCTCTCTCTAGGAAGTTCTCTTTCTCTCACACCCCTCATCAGTCAGTTGCTTTTATCATAACCACTTGATTTACAATGGTGCTGTGGTATTTGATTGTAAATGTTGCATAGGCCTACATAGGAAGTGACAAATGTGCCATTTGGTTGAGAAGTCTAAAATAATTATTAATTTACATTTTGAATGAGAATTATTTGTGATGTAGTCAATGTCAAACCGGTTCCTTCTGGTGTGGTATTGTCATGTTCCCCTTTGTAGTTTTGCAATATAGGACTACTACAGAAATTAGTTATTTTGGGTCTGTTTTACACATGCAAGCAAAGAAATAATTGGCAAAAAAACCAACCTTATCTACAGATTTTATTACAAAATCTCTATAGCCCTCTATCGCAGAATCTGTTATTTACTGTATTGAGACACCATGGAGGTATGCCGGTCATTATGATGGCCTGATTTTTGCTATATCTTGTATCAGGGTATGTGAATATTGCTAGCCAGCACAGGAAAAACTAAAGTTTTTTGACAAGTTAGAGTGACAAATAAACATGCATAAAAACGAATTAAAGTCCGGGACGTGCTTTAGGCTAAAAGGAGTTATAGAGCGCAACAAGCCTCGAAAAATAATGCAATGTGGTACTTTTGTCATCCTGACTCAAACCTGAAGTGAACGCTGCCAAGAAAGCACAGAAAGCCGCCGAGCTCTTTCAGACAGCATGCGATCCCAACATCAGTTCTCTTGCGCTTAAACGGTCAAATGCCAGTGCAACTTTTCTATTTATCTGACATATTTCTGGAGTTTGGCCAAAGTTTTCAAGTGCACATGAAGACCGCATATGTTTTAAGATTTTTATTTTCTCAATGGGACACACTTAATCGCACCATGATTGTGCTGCTTCAGTTTCAAACGTTTTTCAAAATGATATAATTACAATCTCTGCAGTCTCTGCACCAATAAAATGTCCAACACTTTGCGTTTTACAACCAAATTGTATGTAACATAATTAATTTAACTTACGCTGGAATGTTTTCTTAGGCATGACGCGATTGGGGCATGTAAGTTCCTCAATGTAATGAATGACGGGACACGCTTAAAGGGTTAGTTCACCCAAAAATGTCGTTCCAAACCCGTAAGACCTTCATTCATCTTCAGAACACAAATTAAGATATTTTTGATGAATCCCTGCATAGACGTCTCAACGTTACAACCACTTTCAAGACCCAGAAAGGTAGTAAAGACATCGTTAAAATAGTCCTTGTGACTACAGTGGTTCAACCTTAATGTTATGAAGTGATGAGAATACTTTTTGCGCGCAAAAAGCTAAATAAAAATAACGCCTTTATTCAACTATTTCTTCTCTTCCGTGTCAGTCTCTGACACTGTTCATGTGAGCACCATGAGTCATGTGTGTGATGCTGATGCAGGAGTCGGCCAATAATGAGCCGGTGTTCAGATGTAGAACCCGGAAGCGCTGCACTAGGTTTACGTTAACAGCACAGGAGAATAAAGCGGAAAAGAATAAATGGTTTAGTAAAGTCGTTATTTTTTTATTTTATTTTTTTTCACAAAAACGAAACTTTTTCATCCAAAAATGAAAATTCTGTCAGTAATTACTCACCCTCATGTTGTTCCAACCTCGTAAGACTTTCGTTCATCTTCGGAACACAAATTAAGATATTTTTGATTAAATCTGAGAGTTGGATCACTCCTCCATAGGCTTCTAAGGGATCGAAACTTGCCGGCCCAGAAAAGTTAGTAAAGACATCGTTAAAATAGTCCGAGTGACTACAGTGGCTCAATCTTAAGTTTATCATTATTTATTATTTTGTGCGCAAAAAATAAACAACAATTACGACTTTATTCAACTATTCATTTTCTTCTGCGTGGGCCTGAGTGAGTTTGCGTAGTGTAACAGCGCAGCGCTTCTGTGTTGTACGTCACCATCAGTGGTGGCCAGTAACGAAGTAAATGTAATTCGTTACTGTACTTTAGCAGTTTTTTTGCGTATCTGTAGCCTACTTTACTCAAGTATTTAAATTTTGGGAGACTTTTACTTTAACTCCACTACATTTCAAAGTCAAATATCTTACTTTTTTTGCGGAGAGTTTGGGTTACGGAGAGTTGTGAGATTATGGTTTTCTAACACCTACTCCCGTGTAATGGAAATCATTATGAACATCAGCTATGCTAATTATTTCCCATCTGCCTTTCTGCTGTTATCTCGGGACGCTTGTCCCGAGAAAAATGGCGTTCGTAGGCTCCAGTTTGGTATCCTGCCTCTCACGGGGATTTCGGATGCCTCAACGCCTGTGATGAGAAGACCAACGCCTGTGAAGAGACGACTCAACGCCTGCGAAGAGACGACTCAACGCCGGCGATATGTTATCCCCTAAATATTACATGATTAACTAAATGTATTTTTTCCAGGTACTCTCTGATATGGACTTACTGTAAAGCTATGATTGTTAGCCAGAGGAGAACTGGCCCCTGACTAGCCTGGGTTCTCCCAAGGTTTTTTTCTCCATCCAATCTGATGGAGTTTTGGTTCCTTGCCACTGTCGCCTTGCTTTTGGCTTGCTTAGTTGGGGATATTTAATATTCAACAATATTATTGAACTGTGTTGTACTACTTTCATGTTATCACTGTGAAGCTGCTTTGATGCAATCTGTATTGTGAAAAGCGCTATATAAATAAATGTGACTTGACTTGACTTGACTTGACTTTTTACTCTACTACATTTTCAAAATCAGTCGTTCCTTTTTATTTATGAGTGGATAAAAGCGTAACTGGTCGAACGAGCCACCAATCACAGTACAGCGCGTGCGCTTTGTTTTGAACTTGCCTTGGCGGTATCTACTAAGCGCGAACCAGAGCCGTTAAATATGAGAGTTGCAAACAGATGGTTGTGACAGTGATCTCGCCGCCGTGCGGTCACGTTATTCGTGTAGTTCTCAATAGTTCCAAACAAATTGCGTTGACAATGATTTTAAGCGGGACAGAGAGAGCAGCAGCTATTATTGCAGCAATTATTGGTAAGTATTGACGCATAATGTACATTGCTTACGTTGCCACTAAAATTACTTGCATGTAATAGCTTTTTTTTTTGGGGGGGGGGGGAGTAGCCAAGCAGAAACACTGCATTAATAGGTTTTTGTGTTTAATTTTGGTGGGAAATTGGCTGCTCCCATAACATAGATTATATGTGTGTGTGTGTGTGTATTTGCGTGTGTGTGTGCGCGCGCGCGCGTGTGAATATATATGTGTGTGTGTGTGTGTGTGTATGTGTATGTGTGTATATATATATATATATTTAATGGTGTTGTGCAGGTTTATGTGAATGTATCATTACATTAAGATGTTAATAATTATGACCATAGGCTCTGAAGAAAAATATATACAGTTAATACTCTAAATGTTTTATACCTTATTGGAACAGTCCCCTTCCCTCCAAAATTAAACACACAAAAAATAATTTAATTAAAATATATATATATATATACATACAGTATATATATATATATATATATCAGACTAATTAATGTCATTTCATTAATAGATTGGTGTGCCAAGAGTGACATTAGTCTTCACTTAGACTGAGTTAAGCAAGAGTCTTGTGACAAATTGTAATTGGACATTATAGCCATAAAAAAATTCAAAGTACTTGGATACTTAAGTACATTTGAAGGCAAATACTGTTGTACTTTTACTCAAGTGAATGTTTAAAGGCAGCACTTCTACTTTTACTTGAGTAATATTTTACCTTGAGTATCTTTACTTTTACTCAAGTACATGGTATGTGTACTTCGTCCACCACTGGTCACCATGTAGGCTCGCTATTGGCCGACGCTGGTCATGTTTATGATGCGTGATCCTACGTGAACTATCCCTTTAAGGTTGAACCACTGGAGTCACATGGACTATTTTAATAATGTCTTTACTATCTTTATGGGGCTTGAAAGTGGTTATAACGTTTCTGTCTATGGGGGGATCAGAAAGCTTTCGGATTTCATCAAAAATATCTTAATTTGTGTTCCGAAGATGAACGAAGGTCTTACGGGCTTGGAACGACATGAGGGTGAGTAATTACTGACAAAGTTCATAGATAGTGTGGAATTAGTGTGGGTTAAGCATACGGCGCATGGCATTTTTCAGACCAGGGACGGTCTTGCACACTAACTTCCTGTCGCGCACACGCACTATCAAGTGGCCAAGACCACAAGTGTGGGTATTTGTACATCTTGACATGGGGCCTGTCCAAATAATCAACAATAACCCACCACCATAATATAGGCCTATGCTTTAGTCATTCATTTTTTTTTTTAATCTTAAAAACCTATTTCTACAATAAGATATTACCCTTATTAGACTGGCTAGACTACTTGCTAATTGCAAAACACACATTAAGGAACAATAGCCATATAGCAAATATAATATGCCAAAGTTTTGTTTATTTTATTGTCACACTTAAAGCAAGCACATTACAAATTTGCAAATATATTATGAATGCTTTATGCTTTTTACAATGAACAATTTACACACCTATTCCTAAATAACGCTTACGGTGAAATCCTTTAACTGAATTTTTATAGACAAGTTGCATTAACATGTATTTACATTGTGCCACCACAAGTGACTGTACATTATAAAGCATGATATAGTTATATTAATATCATTTTATCATGAATTGAGACTTTGCTTGCTTTGCATTGTAATGATGCATGGAAAATGTTAGCTTGTTTCAAGTTGGTGTGTTCATATTTGCTCAGGAACATGCACCTGTGATAAAGAAATTAAACAATGAGATTCACATGTTCAGTGTCTGTGTAAAACATCCTGTGATCATTAACATCAACAAACCTGTAACTTCTCACTGTTTGTGCACAGAGCTGTAGGTCACCTCGTCCTCCACTGATACTGGGCTAAACTGGAGATATGAAAGATGATTAAGAAGAATACTGACAATTACATTACAGGACAAATCTCTGTGCATGTTCTTGTGAATTCACTCACTGCTTTAGTTTTAGGTCGTACTGTCACAGAGCTGTAAGTCACGTCATTCTCTGCAACCGCTGATGATGAACAGACACCGTTTCCCTGTGAATAATTATAAACATTTCTGATTGTTCTGAGTCTCTCAGTTATGAGTTTGAACTCAAATCGGTTGTCAGCTCAAACCTACTGCGTCACTGTCTCCATCTCGGTTCACCTCTGTAATGTTGGTGTTATTTATGTCTGTTAGTGAGAAAACAAATGATGCTATCAGTCTTTCCATTGCACAGTTCTTGGACATCAGCATAAAGTTTATAAGCGCTCAATGGGGTACTTTTTTAAATAAGTCTCGTATTCTACCAATGCTGCATTCATTTAATGAAAAATACAGTAAAAACTATACTGCGACCCTTCATAAATCATTGCTGATCTGCTGCTCAAGACACATTTCTGATTATTATCAGTGTTGAGAACAGTTGTGTTGCTTCATATTTTGTGGAAACTCTGATAACAAATTTTTTTTTTTTTATTAAAAAAATTAGAAATTAATATTTTGTGTCATTATAAAAGTTTTAAACTGACTTCTGATTAATTTCAATTTTTCAATTCATTTTTGCAGGAGAAAAAAAATATTCATATCTTAAAAAAAAAAAAGGACTGCAAACTTTTGAACAATAGTGTGCAAAACTGATCAAACACTGAATGGCTGATGGAAAATGTCATATAATAAGAAAGGTAAATCAATACTGACTGTTCTTCTTTCTCAGTTTTACAGCTGACACGACAGTCACCAACAGCAGAAACAACACGACCGTCGGAATCCACACCTCCAGATACCCATAATGCCTGTGAGAATAAACAATACAAATGGTTCATATTATATATGCATACAAAATTACCACGTTTTTGCTGTCATTGTCATGACAATAGCTGAAACTAAATTTATGATGCATTTTTCCAACTTTTTAAAAACTTTTTATTCTTAGTTGTATAGTGAACTCTGTCACTCGCAAACATATTACTTCATCAGTTCTGTTGACATTTATTTTGTGATCGTGGGATTCGTTCTGTTGACATCAAATTGGATATTTAGTTCAAAATGCTGCCATTATTATTGGTTTCAATTTATTTCAAATGTTTGTTTTTTGCTGTTCAAATTCTAAAATTCTGTAAATGATGACAGAATTTTCATTTCTGGGTGAACCATCCCTTTTAACAACCATTTAGTTTTAGTTTTATACCATTTCACAAGTGCCATGTTGCAAAACTAAAATAGACGTAGGTTACAGTGCATGAAAAAGAGGAAGATGGCCTCACTGATGCAGTTGCTGTTTTACTGTACACACCAGTTACAGTCATAAAATGAAAATAAATTATGTTGCATACAATTAACCTTAAAAACTTAAAATCACACTTGCATACATTTTGGTTACTTAAAAGTTATATTCTGTTTGCATGTTTTAATATGAGTATTAATACTTATTCTGCTGATCTTCAGTGCTTGATGTTGGATTGTTGTTGCTAAAGAAGAGAAAGAAATAATATAAAGTTCAATAATTAACTCGAACAGATCTAATTAGAAAACCAAAAGGCAAAAAAGACTACACAGAGAAATAGACTAAATGTTAAAGGGTTAGTTCACCCCAAAATGATGTCATTAATGACTCTCCCTCATGTCGTCCCAAGCCCGTAAGACCTCCGTTCATCTTCGGAACACAGTTTAAGGTATTTTAGATTTAGTCCGAGAGCGTTCTGTCCCTCCATTGGAAATGTATGTACGGTATACTGTCCTTGTCCAGAAAGGAAATAAAGACATCATCAAAGTAGTCCATGTGACATCAGTGGGTTAGTTAGAATGTGTTGAAGCATCGAAAATACATTTTGGTCCAAAAATAACAAAAACTACGACTTTATTCAGTATTGTATTCTTGGCCGGTTCTGTTGTGGATCCGCGTTCAGTGCCGCCGCTGACGTAAGACGCTGCTGACGTGTGTCTGGTGTGTGTGTGTGTGTGTGTATTCTGGTTCTGTTGTGGATCCGCGTTCAGTGCCGCCGCTGACGTAAGACGCTGCTGACGTGTGTCTGGTGTGTATGTGTGTGTGTGTGTGTGTGTGTGTGACGTAAGACGCTGCTGACGTGTGTCTGGTGCGCCCGAGCTTCGTTTACAGTCTGAGGGAGACGCACGCTGGAAACAAAACAATCTTCGCAAACATGTCTAAGGATTTCCACACAGAGGAAGACTTGCATTTTTTTGCCCAGCCATATTTATTTGAACCCGAACACACGAACACACCAGACACACGTCAGCAGCGTCACTGAACGCGGATCCACAACAGAACCAGAATACACACACACACCAGACACACGTCAGCAGCGTCTTACGTCAGCGGCGGCACTGAACGCGGATCCACAACAGAACCAGAATACACACACACACACACCAGACACACGTCAGCAGCGTCTTACGTCAGCGGCGGCACTGAACGCGGA